AGAGTATCAATCTTTCGCATATGTCGGCATGTTGCACGAATTCTGGCGCGTAATGTATAATCCTAACCCTAATCTTGTCTTGGTAAAGATAAAGCCACCTGTATTAATGACTGTTCTTTTTCCCATGTCCCGTCGCTTAGACAATATGTCGGCAAAACTCCATAGGAACGCTGGGGAATCCACTGGTCAGTCGAATCCCTCGCAGCTACGTCAGACAGCAGCACAAGATCGGCGAAACGGGCGTAGTCGGCCTTTTACCTAATACCTTTGTTGTCAGTATGGTAAATAGGTGCGTATTTGTGTACGACTGACCGCCAGTTATGCATATTATGCGGTAAGTCTGCGCTACCTGATTGATCTCAGTTCAAATATTCATATCAATTTGCTAAACCGAGTCTAAAAAGGTCTGCTTTGAAAGATTTACTCTAAGATCATGCATTAACTTCTACAGAACTTAAACATGGTATGATGAAACTGGAGTTGCTATATTAGAAAAAAGATAAGGAACGCCAGGGGATCCACTGGTAAGCCCTAAGAGGTGATTCAGGCATCGGTAAAATATTGTCGAAGCACGCATGTTTGGGCTTTTTTCTAGTACCTGTGTTGTCGACATAGTAAATACTAATGCTGAATATATGTGCTTCGTCGATCTAGAAGAGGAACAATTAAGTTCCGCTTTGCCCAGGAGCACACAACGTGAACCCACCAGACAGTCTCAAACGAAAAAGCAAGGAACCAGTGGTTCCGTGACAGAGTATTGAACTTAATGATCAAAGTTCCCAGGTTCAAATCTCGGGGGTTCCAACCCTTGAGATTGGGTATGACTGGCTGATGACGGCTAGCAAGCCCGAAATGGCAATTCCTGTCTCCGTTTACCTTGTCGGATCCATTTCGTCATATCCTCATAGTCACTATGTGACGGTCTGGCGGGTTCACGTTGTGAGCTCTTGGGCAAAGCGGAATTTAATTGTTCCTCTACTGGATCGGCGAAGCACATATATTCAGCAATTATGGGAATATATTACTAGACTATACTATCCGCTGGTCTTAGTAAGTATTATTACTTGCTTT